CGTGCGTGCGTGCGTGCGTGCGTGCGTGTGTGCATGCGTGCGCGCGCGCGTGTGTGTGTACAGACGCGGGCCTGACATGCAGTGTTGTGGTTAATCAGGGAATAACCTTCCTAGCGTACATACGCGCTGTAGATATCGGTGTTTGATTGCGGTGCCAGTCGTTTCTGGGTGGTAGACTTTGACGACCTATAGCTCCGTATTTATCGCTAGGCCCGCGCCCTTCACTTGGAAATTATCTATTTACAAAGTCCATCGGTAACTTTCCGACATTGCAGTACACGATAGGCCTACACATTTGTATACATACACGGGACGGGGACACACATAATGCACAACTGAGTTCGCGCGCCCGCGATCACACGTTTGTGTACGTAGAGTGTTGAAATGACTTTAAAGTGTATACCTTATAATCACTTTACTTATACAGATTGTACTATTATTTTTGTATATATTTTTTTCTTTGTGTTGTATAGCGCTGTTCTGTACTGTAGCACTCAGAAATTTTATTATTTTAACTGCTCAACACTATTGCATCTATCAGATTTTTTCTCCATGAAAAAGACTGTCTTCAGTACATTTATTTGTATTTGAATTACATGCAATAAAGATTTAATAATAATAATAATAATAATAATAATATATACGCGCGCGCAGACAAGCACGCACGCACGAGCACACGCACGCGTACGCACGCACACGCACGCACGCACCTAATTCTTGAAACGTGATGAACTTTAGAAATAGCAACATTGAGAATCGAACTTGCATGTCTTGACTGCTAACATAAATTTTTGCCTCTCTGCATAATTCCTCTTTGAACATTAATTATACAATTAAATAAAGTGATGAGTGGTGATAGAAGCTATACTGCTGAAAGACATCTAATTGTCTACAGATATATTAGACTATTATTAGACTATTAGACTATTATTATTATTAATATTATTATTATTTCCAAAGTGGATCACAGCATTAGCCGGTGGCTTCTGTGTTGACCGTGTCTCACTGCACCCTCTCCCTCACTGCACCCTCCCCCTCACTGCACCCTCCCCCTCACTGNTACCTATAGATATCTACCTATAGATATCTACCTATAGATATCTACCTATAGATATCTACCTATAGATATCTACCTATAGATATCGACCTATAGATATCTACCTATAGATATCTACCTATAGATATCTACCTATAGATATCTACCTATAGATATCTACATATAGATATCTACCTATAGATATCTACCTATATATCTACCTATAGATATCTACATATAGATATCTATACATATAGATATCTACCTATAGATATCGACCTATAGATATTTATCTACCTATAGATATCTACCTATAGATATCTACATATAGATATCTACCTATAGATATCTACCTATATATCTACCTATAGATATCTACATATAGATATCTACATGTAGATATCTACCTATAGATATCGACCTATAGATATCTACCTATAGATATC